CGGTACATGCAATTCACGAAAAAAAAAAAATCAAATAAAAAAAAAAGTGAAACAATCCAACTCTAACATATACAATGTACTCAGCAGTGGAAAAGTCCACAACAATTTCATCTGCATAATTTTTTGCCCTGAATCTTGTGTTTTGGTGTTTTAATAAGCGGAGACAGAGTTGTATTATATGTAGGCGGTAAGTTGAGTTTGAGTCAGGGCCTAAGACCCGTTATTGAGTGGCTAGGGGCAGCAGGCTCTTACTGGTTTATTGACTTGCATTTTACTTGTGGTCTTGGTCATCTTTCAGAGAAAGTGGAATATATCTTTGGCACGTGGCGCTCCTTGAAGATGCCAAATCAGCTTCTGATTTCCATGACTCGTACCATACCACATGTCATAGATTTATATTAAAAAATATAAAAATTAACATTTAATTTATTAAATGATTAATTAAATTTATCTATAAAATACTCATATTAAAATTAATATTAATTTTAATATTTTTAAATAAATTTATAATAAAAAATATCCTTAACATGTATTTTAAAAATTAAAATTAAAAAAACTCAATGATTAATTAGGCAATAACTAGCTCACTATTTTTTATAAGCGTTACCTAAGAAGGCTGACACATGCAATTTAGGAAAAAAATCAAAAAAGAAAAAAAAAAGGTTGAAACAATCCAACTCTAACATATACAATGTACTTTCAACTTTGAACCAAAACCAGCAGAGTGTTGAAGTTAATGTTGAGACATATGGATAGGGAAGGAAGAAAGAGGAGAAGGAAAGGGTGAAGGTTCATGGTGATGTCATTGAGTCAGAGAAAAGCAATTGTTGAAGCTTAAATTAAATGAAGATGAAGGGAATACATATACAAATAATTATTGTTTTCTTGTGAGAAAGCTAAAAGATAAAATAAAATTTAAAAAAAAGAGAGAGAAAAAGAATCCAAGAAAGCAAAGCAAAGACAAGAAAAGCAGGACGATAAATGATTGAGATAAAATGATTTGAGAAAAAGCAAAAGTAAAGTTGTACTATTGTTTGTTGTGTAAAGTGAGGATGAACGATGTTCACTTTAGCACTCTAAAGAGTCATTCTGCAATGCAACCTGACCAAGAATTAAGCGACTTGCTATGGTTAAAGAGGAAAGAAATAATTAAAAGGCAGCCGACCTTGATTTTAAATCTTATAATAATAATTAACATTTACTTTAAAATAAAGAATGGAGGATAACACCTCACTTTACTTTTTAATACATTAAAAGTTAGTTGTTTAGTCATGCAGAAATTTAAATTTTTAATATTAATCTAAAATTAAAATTAAATTAATAAGCACTAATTTAACCAAAATTTTATTAGTAACTCACCTGATTCATGGTAAATTGGCAATGGACAGCTCTGCACTGTTTTCCAATTCTATGGGGTTTGGGGGCAGCAGCCAGCAGACTAGACTTGTGGTTTTCCCTTCCTATAATCCTATCCATATTAAATTTTGATTTTTTAT